TTGAGACCTTGCTGAGCAAGGGAAGCCCATGTTGCCCTTCTGCTCATTTTAGGGGGCCACAACCAGTCACTCCAGTCATGAAGGCAAGGTGTTCTCCATTACCCATCTACTTTTGGGACCTGAGAATCACAAGTCCCAAACCCTTCCTGGACCCTTCAGAATCCAAGTGTTGGGCAAAATGTCCAAGTGCTTCTTGTCTTTCCATAAAGATAAATAAACACCAGACTAACAAAGCAGAAGGGTGGAGATCCTCCCGTTACTTCCAAGAGGCTTGGACAGGGAGCATCTTTGCAAGTATGTATGTGTGTGCGCCTGCTCATGCATGTGTGGGCACATCTATGTACATATGTGTGTGGAGGCCAGAGGTCAACTTCAAGTGCCATTCCTTAGGTGTAACACATTTTCTCTCCCTTCCCCTCTTGTTTTGACACAAAGTCTTACTATGTAGTCCAGTTGGTGTGGAACTCCCTGAGTAGACCAGGCTAGCCTTGAACTCAGCAGAGATCCACCTGCTTCTGCACCACACCCTTATCCCTTGAGTTCTGGGATCAAAGGCATGTGCTATTATGCCTTGATAAACTTTTCTGTTTTGACATAAAGTCTCTTACCGGCTTAGAATTTATCAAGTAAGGCAAGGTTGGCTGGCTATCAAACCCCAAAGATCCACCTGTCTTTACCTCTCCAGCACTGGGATTACAAGTTGGTAACATCATGCCCAGGGGTGTGTGTGTGTGTGTGTGTGTGTGTGTGTGTTTATGTGGGTATGTGTATATGCATATGCAGGTATGTGTATATGTATTCTGTTTATGTGGATATGTGTATATGCCCATACAGGTATGAAGACATGTGTATGCACGTGTGTGGGGAAGCTATCAGTCAAGATCAGGTATGTTCCTCAATTTCCATATCTGCATGTTTTGCCTGTGTGCATGTATGTATGTATACCATGTGCATGCCATGCCATCAGAGGACCATAAGGTGTTAGACTTCCTGGAGCTGGAGTTATAGATGGCTGGGAGTCACTATGTAGATGCTGGGAACTGAACGCTAGTCCTCTGGAAGAGCATCAGGTGCTCTTAACCACATCTCTCTAGTCCCCACCTTACTTTGTTTAAACATGAGTGTTAGGGATGTGAACACAGGACCTCATGCTTGCACATCTTGACTAAGTCATCCTCCCCATGCCCCACGCCCCACACCCCACCCCCAACCCCCGGCTCATGCCCAGCTCCTTTAGGTAAGATCTGAGGATTATACTCAAGTTCTTGCTGGTATTTGCAAGGTAAGCACTTTACAGACCGACCAATCTTCCCAGCCCCCCAGACACCCTTGCCAGCTTTCGGGTCCAACAGCTAAACACCCTGCAGAATGGTAGTCTAGACCCAGGAAAACAAAAGCTTCCGGGGGCCACTTGTACGGCTGTGTTGGGTAATGAGCATTCAGTGATTTTTGTTTTCTTCTCAAAGTTCCTCAATAGCTCGTACATTTTACAGAGATTAATTCTCAACATTTATAATCAAGAAAAAAGCCAATGCATTTACAAATAAGATCACAAAACTTCTGGTTGCTCATCCAAGATTCCCAGCCCAGAGCTCTTGTTCAATGAGAGCCAGCTGTCTCTGTGTCTGTTTATGTATGGAAATTTTAATTCCCGCTTCACTACCCTTAAATTTCCCTAAGGAAAAATGTAGCCAAGAAACCAAGAGAGGGATGCTGAGAGTGAGTCCTTTTTCCAAAAACAGCTTTTTTTTTCAGGAAACTTTCTGGGTCATATTAAACTGCGGTGGCCTTCAGGTCAAGAGTGAACAATAGTTCCCAAACTTGGACATAATTTTACCCACGCTTGCCTTCTCATCTCTGGAAGTAGCCCCGGGGTGCCCAAACCTGTAGGCAAAGGCTTGTGTGTGAAGTCAGTCAAGCTCATTGACCTTGGATGGGTCCTTCACTCCAACTAGGTCATGCATGTAAAATGCAGGGAACAGAGAGTAGCTAATTAGTCAGGCTTTCTCTTAACCTCTTGATCTAAAAAAAAGGGGGGGGCTTTTTAAAATATTTGACAGTTGAGTCCTCTTAGCCCACAGATCATCTAGCACTGAACTGAACCAGCAATACCAGCTCAGTGCCTAAGTGACATTCCGAGAGCTCCCCAGACAGGGGGCATAATTACAGGGTGCCTCTGGCAGTCACTTCAATAACATCTGAGCCTGAAGTGAAAGCAATTGCTTCTTCCTACTTATAACAAAAAGCTCTGATGTGTCTACCCCCATGCGAAGTCTATGACTGGCATCCCCCCACCCCTTTACGATATAAGAAAAAAGGCATCGGAGCATAAATAGAGAGTGATCCATAAAAACTAAGGCACTAAAGGGGTGGCCACGCCCCTACTCCATCAGGCCCTGAATAGGCCATAATTCCAGCATTGTTTTGGTGCAGCTGCGTGGAGTCAGCCACGAACACACTCAGAAGCCTGAGCGATGCTGGAACCTGCCTCTACTCTCGGTATCCAATCCAGACATTAAATCCTGCTAAATGTTTTTTTTTTTTTTAACCGTCACTTGGACCCAACCTTTACTCTTCAGACTTTATTCCCAGCTCCTCCCTAAGCGAAAACTGCTCAGGGTTTAATGGCAGGTGTGTGCTTAGAGGTTGTTTGTAACAGGATGAGGCTGAGCTAGGAAGCTGGGGGTGTGGGTAACTGGGAAGAACGGAGCTGTCAGCAACTGAGGATGCCCACGGCAGTGCTATACGAGCTATCTGGAAGGAGGGAGAAGGGGAGAGAGAAGGAAAGAGGGAGGGAGGGAGAAACAGAGAAAGGAAGGAAGGAAGGATGGATTCTGTTCCTTAGTTTTATGACTGCTGAGCAATTGGTTAGGTAAGCCCCTGCAGCAGACACAGGACTTTTTGGACATAGGGAGATTAAAAGTTCGTCAGCTGGGCTGGGGAAGTGGTTCAGCTGGTAGACTGATGTCATGGGGCAGCATGCATGAAGCACTGGGTTCGATTCCCAGAACTGTATACACTGGGCGTGGTGATACACACATGAAATCGCAGCTTCTAAGAGTTGAGTTGGAGGCAGGAGGATCAGTCATTCAAAATCATCTCTGTCTACAAAGCCAAGTTTGAGAACCACCTGAACTCCATGAGACGGAGCCAAACAGAGTTCCTCAGCATGCAGGCTGTGGGAGGGTGACCAGCTACACAGACGCTGTCTCGTACAGATGGTCCCCACGCAGCCTCCCTCCCTGAGAGACAGTGTATGCCCCTGCACCCATCTGAAGCCGCAAGGGTGAAATGACCCTGCATCCATTAACTTAGTAAATGGATATAGATGTGTATGTCTCCCCCAGGCGTGGAGGCGGGGAGCTCTTATCAGACCCAGCTGCCAGCCACTCACGGCACAAATGTACCCTTGGCTCTTCCACAACACAAAAAGCTGCCAGTAAGTGAAACATGATCTTACTGCAGTGGGTGCTCTGACCCTAAGGCCACGTGTGTACAGACCAACAACAGGCTGACTCTCACCACGAGCCTGAGAGACGGGCCCGCTTTCCCGAGTCTGAGCTATGAGTCGATGAGCTCAAGGATGAGGAGATGCCCCAGGACCCAGCCCCAAGACAGACAGACTGGAAACCAGTTGCCCACCCTAGATAACCCTGGATTTCATGCCTCAAAGCCAGGTGCACTTCAGTAAACTACCCGCTGCCCCAGAACAAGGTTAGGGAAGGAAAAGCCACAAGCTGTGGCCAAGAACAGCTGGATTTACCGCTACAGAGATCCCTGACTTTTGTGTACAAAATACAGCCCATAACAACCTGCTCAAATCCTTAGCTTACTCTTTCCACGCCACCCCACACAGCTAAACACACATTCTTTTCACCTCAAGCTGCTCTCAGCCAACAATGCCTAGCTCTTAGTTGTTCTGGAAAATGAGAACTCTCTAGCTGTCTTAATTTACAGATGTATATAGAGCAGTGGTTCTCAACCTTCCTAATTCTGTGACCCCTTAATAGTTACTCATGTTGCTATTTCACATCTGTAATGGATGAACTGCTGTGAATCATAATGTAAAAATGTGATATGCAGATGGTCCCAGGCAGCCCCGGTGAAAGGTCTTACAACCTATAAAGGGGTCATGACCCACGGGTTGAGAACTCTTGATATGAGCTGGATGCGTGATTCTGGAGTGTGTGTCCATAATATCAGCCCTTGGAAGGCAGAGGATTCGGAGTTCCAACTCAGTTACATGTTAGTATGAGACTAGCCTGGGCTACATGGCACTGTCTTACCTCATTGAAAACAAGGAAAAGAGGGAGGAGTGGAGGAAGGAGGGGAGGGATGGGAAGGAGGAGGGGAAGGAAGGAAGGAAGGAGGGAGGGAAGGAAGGAAGGAAGGAGTGACTGGGACATCCTGGAGTGCCCAGGGGCCTTCAGCAGACAGTGCAGACAGGTCACACTGCATGGCCCTTTGATAAAGTTTTCCCCTAGTTCACCTAAAGAGCAAGTTTTTTTTTTTCAATGATCTTCCAATTCCCCATAGAAAATCCACAGACCTCCTTTTCTCCTGGTTTATTTTCACTTTCATTAGAGGTGACTCTCAGGGAGAGCAGCACTAACAAAAAGAGGACGCTTGTCCCCTGACATGGGATCCCACCATGGTGAGGACCTTAAAGGCAAGGATAAATTATTTAAGTACGCTATTTTCCCTTCCTGTTCTTGGAAACAAAATCGGAAGAGTGGACCAAGGGTGGAGAAATCTCATCAAAACCTACTATATATTGTTCAATAAACACCTAGATAATTGATTCTGTGTGGGAGCCAGGAATTCCATAATCACAGCAGACTGCCCCACTGGCTTCCTAACAGCCTCATTCAGGAGGCTTCAAATTACACACCCTCCTTCTCCTCAGAAAGAGTCCTGTCAGCTCCACCCCCTTGGAAACCGGCCGCACAGACAGACCCCCAAATCAGGTCCCAAAACCACTTGAAATCCAGGGTACTTACCGACTTCCTTTGGGAATTAAAGTCATTTTAAAACAAGCAAGAGGAGTCCGTGCCTTCCTTCACCCGGAGCAGGCAACCTTGGAGGCTGGCACACTTTCAGAGGGACAGCTTCCGGAAGAGCTCAACTGGGTCCCAGAGGGCAGGAAGCTGAGGGGTCTCCTCAGAGATGTCAAGGGCTGAGCTGTGCTTCCAGGCCCTGACCAGCCCTGCCTGGGGTCCTGTGGGTGGTCCTGCCTCCCTGGCAGCACCGTTGTCTTCTGCCAGCCACAGCTGCGGAGACTGAGCCCTGACAAAGCCAGCACGTGGAGAGCTAGGGAGGCAGGCAGGCAGGCGGGCGGGGCTCAGCCCAGGATGCCACAGACTGGTCCCCATAGCAACATGGCAAGGAGCTAGGCTGGTGGGGCGAGCTGGTAGTGAGTGCGGACAGTGGCCTGGGCAAGCAGGAACCCATGTGGGTCTGGGCTCCAGGGGAGCGCAGTTAGAAAGGCTGCTTATTTTTTCTGACACCACCACCAACCTACCACTTCTGACAGACTCTTAGGGTCCTGAAGCTGCAGGGATCTTTGAATACTTTTAATATCACAGGGAACTCCTTTTCGTGGTGTGGTGATTTTTTTTTTTTTTTGAGACAGGGTTTCTCTGTGTAGCCCTAGTTGTCCTGAATTCTCACTGTAGACCAGACTGGCCTAGAACTCACAAAGATCTGCCTGCTTCTGCCTCCTAAGTGCTGGGATTAAAGGCGTGAGCCACCACTGCCCAGTCAAAGTGTTGATTTTGTAAGGAGATCTTTGTATGTACGGATGTTGTGCTGGAGTATGCATGCATACATGCAGGATAATAGTATGTGATGTGCACAATGTGGGGTGTGTAGGGCACATATGTGATATCCATTGTGTATGTCTGGGTATGTGGCATGTGTGTGGTATGTATCTATCTGTGTTGTAGGTAAGTGGTGTGTATATGGTGTTGTTTTGTGAGTAAGGAACCTAAGAAACCTGGACAGTCTCTACCATGGTGTCTACTTGTTATAAATGGACAAGGTGGAGTAAACCCTAAAGAACTACAGTTCTGAGTGCCCACCAGTTGGCCAGAAGTCATGAATCAGTGGCTCTGGGTGACCAGTACTGCTTCCCAGCCCAGAGCTCCTCAGATTTTGTTCTATGTCTATATACCCACCGTCTCATTACACATGTGGAATTCATTAGAACAAGGCCAAAGTCCCACAGATGGCCCTGAAGTGACAGGACAGAGAGGAAGTCAAATATCCAGAGTGCTACTGTGGAATTCAAATTAAATGCAATGTAGTGAATCTATTCTAAAGGAAAAGGGTGTCCCTACGAACAGCATCCACGGGGGCCTGAGCGCAGTCCTCACTGGGAGGGCTGGGTCTTGCTCTGTCTCTCTGTGAAGATCGCTGAGTGAGTTCTCATTCCTCAGTGCTGCAGAAGTCTGTGGATCCCAATGCCTGTGTCTCTGACTTAGGGCGCAGCTCAGTCTTTGTCTGGGTAATTTCCGCAGGTGCGGTCAGCATTTGCATGTACTTTTTGTCTTTTTGTTTTTATTTATTTATTATGCCATGTTTTAAATTGAGCTATAGTACTTTTTCTCCTCCCCCCCCCCTTGGTTTTTCAAGATAGGGTTTCTCTGTAGCTTTGGGGCCTGTCTTGGGACGTACTCTGTAGACCAGGCTGGCTTCGAACTCACAGAGATCCACCTGTGTCTGCCCGCACTTTTTATTCTTTAACCAGAATCTACCGCATGTATAGACCGTTTTCCCATTCTGCAATCAACTGCAGCTGTTGTTCTGTGGATTCAGATTCTCCCACCACTGAGACCCTTTCCACCCAGTCCTTCCGCTTCCTGGCCTGTGTTTTCCTCAGCCTTCTCCTCCCCACCCCACCCCACCCCTCCCCACCCCATCCCACCCCCATTCAAACCCTGACTGAGGTTGGAAAGGGCGGAACCCAGTGATGAGGTACTTCTCTCTCCCAGTGTGCCAGGTTCTCTTCTCCAGCCTGAACCACGAACCCACACAGCCTCCGCTGCCAACCGCAAATAGTGACTCATTGTTACACAGCCACATGGCTGTCCTAGAGGTGGATGGAGAATATTGTGCCATCCTAAGGTACCTCACACTACCCAGAGCATGCAGGTCTACACCCCTCCAGATCTCAAGTTCTGTTTGTATGTTCAGAGGTTTATTTAGCTCATGGTTTTTGTTTGTTGTTTGTTTGAGACACACGTCTCAGGCCGGCCTTGAACTCGCTATGTAGCTGAGGATGACATTAAACTCTGATGCTTCTACCTCTACCTCCTAAGTGCTGGGATTATAGTCCAGCTGGGGATCCAGTCCAGCGCCCCCTGCATCCTTGGCAAACACTGGACCACACCCCACATCCAGACCCTCTTCCCTTGTCCTTTATGACCGCATTTCCGATTTGTTCTTGAGTGCCATGTCAGGGAAGGAAACAGGGATCTGGTGGCCTGCACTTCAATCCCACAGCAGCAGCTACCCACAGGGTGCTGGAATCTCCTTGTGAGTGACCCTGCATGCATGAGGCTTTGCTTGGTACCCCAAAACTACTTACCTTGCAACCCTTCCCGCTTGGAGGCGGTTCTGGCTTTGAAGCTGTTATTGTCCCCGTCTGGCCTCCACTATGTCGGGAAAATCCCTGAAAATGACAGCATGGCTTGAGGTCTGGGATGAATGTCTTTGTCTCCTGAGGAGCTGAGCAGAGTGTGTCATGTGGTCACCAGAATAACCAGAGGGTGACACAGCAACACTGGGAGTCACTCAAAATAGGCAGGATGGCAGAGTTGTGGTTAGCACTTGGGGAAAAAAAAGTTTCTTCTGGAAATGTGGGGCAGGCAGGCCAAGCATGTGGGGGACGATGGGAAATGCTCCCTCCTTTCCCTCCTGCTGTGATGACAAATAGTAAACAAAAGGAGGGGAGAAGGGAATTTCCTTTGCTTCTGGAACATTCATTATGTTATGGGCACTCTTTATAAATGGCTTCGTTTAATTGTCCAAGTCCAGGTAATTTTGTGCCAGACTAACCCATCTCTTGGGAAGAAAACTGAGAAGTAATCTGCTGGGGTGTAGCTCAGCTGGTAGAGTACTTGATCAGCACACTGAAGGTCTTGGGTTTGTACCCAGCACTACCCAAACCAGGGATGAGGGCACGTGTGGCACATGCCTATACTCCTAGTGTTTGATGGAGGCGCCAGGAGCAGAAGTTCAAGATCTTTTTTGATTATTTAGTGAGTTGAGGGCTAGCCTGACCTTCATGGGATCCTGTATCAAAAATAAGGGAAAGAAACACTGGGGAGGGGTGTGGGGGGCAGGACTGCCTCATTTCCAGGATTCACTGCAAATTCTGATCCCCAAAGGAAGCCTCCGGTGGTGCTAACCACATGTCACACAGAACTCATTCCCAGAGGATCTGAGCCCTTAGTGGAATTTGTAGTTCAAATTCAAAATGTGAGGTTTGGGAAGAGTGGGTTTCCCAGGGACACACAGAAAAAAATGGGGCCACTTTTAACTCTGAGCTTCAACTGCTTGAAGAAACAGAGCCTAGCAGCTGGCTGTGCCTGTGGGACACTTCTCCTTTGCTACAGGGGGGGACAGAGGCTAAAGAGCCCTGTGACATTCTCTTTCCCCCCCTCCCCCCACCCGTGTGTGTGTGCGCGTGTGTGTGCATGCGCGCGTGCGCAAATGCCACAGTGCACACGTGGAGGTCACAGGATCATTTTTAGGCGTCATTTCTCACATTTCACCTTGTTTGAGACAGGGTCCCTCTTGTTTCTCGGGCTGGTCTGTGAACTGCAGGATAGCTGGCCCTGGAGCTCCCAGGCCACTTAGTTGTCCATCACCACATGAGAGTGCTAGGATTAAAGCTGTGAGTGCCCTGCACACTCAAAGTGTCCACAGTGAGCCATCCATCACTTATTCTGTAAATATTAGTAAGCGATTCTATTTGATTTTTTATTCAACATATATGGCAATATTTTATTTCTTTTTTCTTTCTTTCTTTCTTTTGTTTTTTGTTTGTTTGTTTGTTTTTCAAGACAGGGTTTCTCTGTATTGCTTTGGAGGTTGTCCTGGAACTCGCTCTGTAGACCAGGCTGGCCTCAAACTCTCAGAGATCCGCCTGCCTCTGCCTCCCAAGTGCTGGGATTAAAGGCATGAGCCACCAACACCTGGCTATTTCTATCTTTTGACCTCATACAGAACACAAATTCTGGTTAGATTTTTTTTTCTGGTAGCTGGGGTTCCTCCTGCCTCAGCCTCCTGAGATTTCAGCTATGCACTATCACACCTTCCCAAGGGTGGGTTTTCCTTTCCAGGGTAATGCTCATCCCAACTAGTGCTGGCACAGGCTGAGATGCCTGCGATGCCATTTCTGGCCCTGTGGTCCCAGTGCTGAGGGTGGCCCCCAGCTCAGCAGACTAGCTTGGGAGTTGGGGGGGAGCTGGGGCTACCCCTCTCTTTCTCCTCTGAGCAGAGCCACAGGTGGTGACCAAGGGAGAGGAACTGGGCTGCCTGTGCTTGACGACACAAAGTTCCTCTTCATCCTACAAGCTTCAGCAAATGGTACAAAGAAAAGAGATTCTGGGCAGGAGTTACATACAGCTCAGTTGGTGGAGTACTTGTCTAGCAACAGGAAGCCTTGAGTTCCACGCCAGACACCAAACAAACCAGGCACGGTAGTAACCACAGATCTTAGGAGGTGGAGTCAGGAGACTTGGGAGTTCAAGGTCACTCTCTGATGCATGAGTTTGAGGCCAGCCCGTCTCAGAAGCAAATTGTAGTACGAATAATGAAAACCAGAGACAGATGTTGGGGCTCAAGCTGAAGATCAGAAAAGCAAAGCAGCCGGCCACTAGCTCTCACCTCTACCTCAGACTGAAAGGGCGATCCTGACCACAGACTGCGTCTCCACTGAGTTGCTCTTCCGTCCCTCTGAGACTGCGCCGAGCTCCTTGTAGTCTCTCTAGTGCTGGAATTAAAAGCATGAGCTCTGTTTCTCTTTTCGACTGATTCACTCTTATGTAGCCCTGGGTGGTCTTGGACTCACAGAGATCCATCTGCCTGTGTTTCCTGAGTCCTGGGATTAAAGGTGTACGCCACCACTGCCTGTCCTCTATGGCTGTGGCTAGTTTTTGTTTGTTTGTTTGTTTGTTTTTGTTTTTCCAGGAAGGGTTTCTCTGTGGCTTTGGAGGCTGACCTGGAACTCGCTCGGTAGACCAGGCTGGTCTTGAACTCACAGAGATCTGCCTGCTTCTGCCTCCCAAGTGCTGGGATTAAAGGCATATGCCACCACTGCCCAGTGATGTGGCTAGTTTTGCAATCTGATCTCTAGGCAAGCTTTCAAAAACAATGTATCACCATAGTAAATGAGCAAGAAATCCAGACAGGGCCAGGTGGTGGTGGCGCACGCCTTTAATCCCAGCACTTGGGAGGCAGAGGCAGGGGGATCTCTGAGAG